TCAAATATCACAAAAGTGTTGGTGCTCACCAAAGTAACGCCTTCATTTCTATAATTATAAATATAATTGAGCCAAATTCTTTACATTAAGACATTTTTTTCCCATGTTGTTTCGTTTGTTGGAGCAGCTGGCTTCAATTCTAAGAGTTTATTCTGTAAAGGGAACTGGGATTATCCCTGCATCCATCTCTGCCATGGAAAGCCACCCTGGGGAATCTCTGCTGGGTCATTTCTGGCTGCACCCAGAGGATAAACAGATCCATGGGAGCCATCCCAGGCTGTATCCCCATGGATCTACCCCTGGATCCACCTGCAGGAGCCCAGCTCAGAGCCTGGAGCAAGGCCTGAACCCCCAGAGCTCAGCAGACTGAACAGAGGACTCTGTACCACAGGGTGCTGCACCCAGCAATTAAAAATTCGGACAATCCAACTGGAATGACAAGGATTTTGCTGGAGCCACATTCCAGAAGGTCTGGGAGGTCCAGAAGACATCCAGGGCATCACCAATAGTTTTTTGTAAATTTAAATATTCACTGTTTCAGGCACTGAACATCAGTGATGTAACCCCAAGCCCACATTTGCTCTTCCCTTGTCTTCAGCCACCTGCTGGATCAGGATTCACTGGGATAATCCTTCCCTATTTTCTTGCCTCCAAGGATAGAACACAAATATTCCTTTCTGACACCCAGACAGTTTATTAAAAAACAAACTCTGGTGTGTTTTACCTTCATGGCAAAGCTGGATGGCATCATGTTCTTTGGCCACTCAAACTCTGTCAGATGGATCCGTATCCCAGATTCCAGCAGCAGCGTGGCCTTGCAGTCCGGCCTGGGGGCAAAACAAATTTTAAAAATCTAGTTTTAATTGCAGACAATTAAAAAAATCTAGTTCTCACACAGCATTCCTAAAGAATTTTTAAATAAAGATACTTAAAGTTCTTACTTTTGCAGGCGAATGAGATAGGTCTTGTTATCCACATCATAAACGTTGTTCACTCTCATTCCCAACAAGCTGCCAAAAGGAAAACAAGGAATGCTTTGGAAAATCCAAAACACAACTGGATGGGAAAATCCCAGTGGCAATTAAAGCACACACATGGGTAAGTTATGATAAATTACTAAGTTATGATAAATGACCAAGTTATATAAATTACCATGTTATGATAAATTACCAAGGAGTAACCAAAAGGGCAGCAAAGGAAGAGTAATGGAATAAGCTGGAAGCAACAACCACGGAGAGATGGAGAAACTGCTCTTAAGACACAGCAATTAGGAGAGGGAGAAAATTAGATGGAGGAATTTATATACATGGATAAAATACAGGAAGCTGCTCTTTGCTCCTCTTTGTGGCAGGGATGTACTGGTTATACTGGAGCTCCTCGGCCAGCACAGGCACCAGTAATCCCAGTATGGGCACTGAACTGGCCTGGGGGTGTCAGTCACTCCCTTCAGAGTGGGGCTGGACATGCAGAGTGCCCTGGACACCAGGAACGTGTCAGAGCCCCGCAGGGATGGGAGGAGTTCTCCCAACGAAAATGGGACTTGTTCATGTGGAAACAAGGCTCCAGAGAGAGCTCAGAGACCCTTCAAAAGCCTAAAGGGGATCCAGGAGAGCTGGAGAGAGACTGGGGACAAGGGAGGGAGGGACAGGACACAGGGAATGGCTTCATCTAGGTTAGACGAGATATTAGGAAGGAATTCCGGGGTGAGAGGGAGATGAGGCCCTGCCACAGCGTGCCCAGAGAAGCTGCAGATCCCGGGAGTGTCCAAGGCCAGGCTGGACGTGGCTTGCAGCACCCTGTGATAATGGGAGGTGTCCCTGCCATGGCAAGGGTGGGATGGATGGCAGAGGGGCTGCGTGGGTTCTGCAGAGCCCAGGGCGGGCAGCACTGAGGGGCAGAGCGGGGCCGGGCACAGCTGTGGGAGCAGGACACGATGGAGGAACAGAGCCCGCACAGCCCTGAGACCACGGCAGGGCGGGGAAACCGGGCCAGGACCAGGACCAGGACCAGGCCAGAAGGAGGAGAGGGGACAGAAACAGAATCAGGACCAGGACCAGGACCAGGACCCACCGGGCCGGGCCCCGCTCCCCGAGGCCGCACGGGCCGGGAGTGCCGGTACCTCTGCCGCAGCTCGGCGAGCACCGCGCGGATGTCGACGGTGCTGAAGCGGGACTTCATGGCGCCGGCGCCGCCCGCCGAGACCCACAGGGATCCCGGCTCCCGCTCCCTCACAGCTGCCGGTCCCTCACAGCTCCCGGCGCTCCGTGGCCTCCCCGCGCCTGCGCCCACAGGCGCTACGGGTCGCGCCCGGTGCCAATCCCCGGCGTTCCGCGGCCGCGCACGGGCCGAGCCGGTGCCGCGAACAACCGGCAGGAGGCGCTGTGAGCGCGGGGCGCTGAGGGGGCGGGAGGCGAGCTGGGCCCGGCGGTGACAGAAAAGGGTCCGGGGGTGACAAAAAAAGACTCGGAGAGTGACAAAAAAGACTCCAGGAGTGACAGAAAAGGGTCCGTGTATGACCAGAGGAGCTCGGGAGAGGGCGGCAAAAAGGAGGAAAAAAGGGGACAAAAAGGGGCGCCAGAGGGTCCCGTGTGTGGCAAAAGGATCGCGCGGGTGTGGGGAGCAGGAAAGGGTCCCGCGTGTGTCTGTGTCGGGCAGCAAAGGAGTCCCGCGGGACCCCCTTCAGCCGTGTTTATTTAATAATACATGTTAACATGGCTTATTTAAGGTGTTAACATGTCTTACTTAAGGGCAGGCTGTTGTTGGAGATTTGTTTGCGGGTGTGAGTTGAGTTGAGTTAAGCGTTGGTGCGGGGTGCGGGTGCGGTGTTTGTGCAGTAGGAGGCGGTGTTGTCGTGCGTGTTTTGGGGAGCCAAGGGGAGTTTTTTGGGGGCGCAAAGGGGAGTTTTGTGGCGTGTCGGGGCAAAAGGGGAGCCCGCGTGTCTCTGTGTTGCCCAGGCTACGCTGGCGTGGCTATTCACAGGCGCGATCCCGCTACTGACCGCCACGGGAGCTTTGACCTGCTCCGTCTCCGACCTGGGCCGGTTCACCCCTCCTTAGTCAACCTGGTGTCCCGCAGCTCCCCGCGGGTCACCATATTGATGGCGGCCTTAGCTTGGACGCCCGCTCGGCACAGCGCACGGCAGCCCAGAACTCCTGGGCTCAAGCGATCCGTCGGGCTCAGCCTCCCCGGCAGCTGGGACTACAGGCGCGCGCCACCGCGCCCGGCGCTGCCTACCCGCTCCGCCGCCGACTCGGTTTGTGTGGAGCCGCCCCGAGCCCGCCTCCTGCCGCTCCTGCTCCGCCTCCCCATCCTCCTCCTGCTGCCCCTGCTCCTCCCCCTTCTTCTCGTACTCCGCTTTCTCCTTTTTGCTCTCCTTTTCCATTTCCTTCTCCTCCTCCTCCTCCTCTTCTTCCTCCTCCTCATCTTCTTCTCCTCCACTTTCCCCTTCTTGTTCTCCTTCTCCATTTCATTCTCCTCCTCCTCCTCCTCCTCGTCTTCTTCCTCCTTCTCGTCTCCATTTTCTCCTTTTTGTTCTCCTTCTCCTCCTCTTCTTCCTCCTCCTTCTTCTTCCTTCCCTTTATCCTTTTCCCCCTTCTCCTCCCTTCCCGTTTCCCCTTTCTGATTCCTCCTTCCCCTCCCTCTCCCCTTTCCCCTTTCTCTTCCTCCTTTTCTTTCCTCATTTCCCTTCTTCCCCTTTCTTTTCCTTATCCCTTTTATTCTCGTTTGTCTCTTTCCACTTTCTCCTTTCCCTTTCCCCTTTGCCTCCTTCACGTTCTTCCCCATTTTCCCTTCCCCCCTTCCTCTTCTTTTCCCCATCCTTACCCCTTCTCCTTCCCCGTTCTCTTTCCTTTTTCCCTTACCCCTTCTCCGTTCTCTTTCCCTTTTCCCCTCTCCTTTCCCTCCATCCCCGTTTCACCCCCAGCACACACAAACTCTGCCCTGCTGAGGAAGCAGCCAGGCCAAGGAAAGAGTTCCCTCTCCCCATCCTTAGCACAAACCCAAATTCTTCACTTCTTACACAATTTGGGCATTTTTACCAGAGACTCACTGTGGGATTTATGATCAGGGCATTACATCCATACTGAACTTCCACCAGCACAACAATTGCAGCCCAAAATCCCAACCTCAGCCTTCCCAGCGCTCAGATCCCATCCACAAACCACCAGACCCAGCTCTCCTGCACATTCCCTGCCATCCATCCTGTGTGAGCTCTGCCTGGCCACACAGTGGCACTGGGGAACTGAGGGAATGTCCTTGAGCTCCCTCTGATTTGTTTCAAAACGCTGGGACAGGCAGGAATGGTTTTTGAGGAGGTTTAAGCAGCTGGGGAAGCCCGAACCCCTCATTTGGAGCCGGAGGAGGCACCCCCTGATGCTGTTTCCATTTCCAGCCCAGTGAGGCACAGCCTGGAGCTCTGTCTCGGGGACAGCTCCGGACAGAGCAGATCAGAAATGTCCTGCCTTGAAAAACTCCTCCTAGGGCAAAGCTTCCCGGTTTGGCAGCGTTTTCCAGAGAGTGTAAAGCTCAGAGCCGAGGACACCGATGAGCTGTGACAGTAAAGATCGGCCGGAGCAGAATAATGAGAAATTCCTGGGAGCTGGAACGCCTCGATCTGGAGCGGCAGAGTTTGAGGGAGGGGGGTGGCACTGACTGGCAGGGAAATCCTGCTGCCCAGAACACGAACCCGGCATTTCCCAGTTTAATAATCACGTCTGCTGGGGGATCCCAATGCCAACACATCCCACCAAAACCTCAGCACGCCTGAGCGGGCGAGGCTGGCGCGGCATCTTCGGGAGGAGCATCCCTGGGAGTGCTTTTGCCTTTCCCTGCTCCTGTGACTGCTCCGTGGCACAGAGAGCTCACAAAAGAGGCTGAGACCGAGGGGAAAAGATGCCAAAAGAGGCTGGGGCCAGGGGGACGAAGATGCCAAAAGAGGCTGGGTCCCGTCCTGTCACCCGGGCTGCGCTGCAGGGTCTGCTCGCAGGCGCGGTCCCGCTACCGAGCGGCACGGGAGCTTTGACCTGCTCCGTCTCCGACCTGGGCCGGTTCACCCCTCCTTAGGCGACCTGGTGACCCCCGGGCTCCCCCAGGGTCACCATATCGATGCCGACCTTAGCTTGGACGCCCGCTCGGCACAGCCCTGCAGCCCAGAACCCCCGGGCTCAGCGGTCCGCCAGCCTCAGCCTCCCCGGAGCTTGGATTACAGGCACAAGCCACCGTGCCCGGCTGCTGTGTGCGCTGCCTCCGCTCCCCATCACTCCGGGACCGGCTGGATCCAGCGCGGTGGGAGGAGCAGCAGGCACAGGAAGCAAAATTTAGCTTTTCAAGCGAGTTTCCAACACATTATTTTGGTTTTAAACAGGGCAAGGTTGTGCTGTTGTAGGTTGAAAATTGAAGATCGTGTTCCTGCTCTGGGATGTGCCCGGAGAGAGCTCAGAAGGATTTGCAGAATGTCAGAGAGGCAGTCTGCTCCCTGCAGGTGTAATGAGCTGAATGGTCCTCAGCAAAAGATAGAAAAATAACAAAAACCGAAGGCAAGGAGCAAAAATCAGGAGCTTCCTGCTTTTATCCATTCCCTGCCATAACAGGCAGCTGCCTAGGAACAATTTCACTGAGGATTTTTCATCTTAACTCTGTGTTCTGCCTCTGCCAAAGAGACCTGCCCCAGGTATCCCATGGGAAGAAGTGGCTGCTCTGTCTCCCCCATGGATCGCTCATGGAATTGTTTCTCCAGTGCAGAGGTCAAGGCAAGGGTGTCCTGCCCAGGCAGGGCCACACCTCCTGCCCTGCACTCAGGAGCTGTCTGAGCAATTCTTCCAGCCCGCCCCGAGCTGCTGGGGCAAAGTCCAGGGCTAAAGTCCACAGGGCAATCCCATCTCAGGGAAGGAAAATAAGATTTTCCTCAGTGCTGCACGAGCCTGAAGGGTGTCAGGGCTGCATGGGAGAGATCCCAGATTTTGTTCTGGGCTCTTTTTATCTCCTTAAGGAAGAGCTGTTGGTGACAGCTGGAGTTTTGGCTAAAGGCATTAGGATAATGATTTAGCCAAATGATTTAGGGGTCAAGGCATGAGGAGGGGGAGGCCTGGCATCCACAGACAGGGGAGAAAGGCAAACCATCCCCACAGAAATAACACTGAGCACATCCCTCCCACCCCTCCTCCTGCCACTGACACGAGGATTCTTCTTCCTTCCACAAACACACATTTCTCCTCACGTGAAAAAAAAACCATAGCAGGAGGGATTTGAGAGAGCAGGGGCACGAAACTCGGTGATTTCCCAGAGGAAATCTGATGGGAATGGGCTTGGCAGGCTGAGGAGGGGCCAGGCACAGTGAGGGTCTGACAGAGCTGGGGCAGAGCTGAGATGGGAAATGAGCTGGGGACAGCTCATCCCTGAGCCCAGGGGGACCCTGCCCTCTGGAGCTCATCCCACAGGCAATGGATGTTACACATAAATAAAAACTTACAATAAAAAAGTCCTTATAAAAACATAGTTCAGACCTTACTATTCGAACTAAGCTAACCTATTAAATTCCTGTGAGAAAAACAAATTATAATAATAAAAAATCAATTTATATAACAATCTATTCTTGTGAAAAAACAACTCACACCTGCAAAAAAGAAAATTCTACCCGTATAAAACATTCATTTCCCAAAAAGCAAAGAATATAAACTATCGAGAAAAATAAAAGTTTAATAAACATATACACTAACAATTACCAAGCCATAAACTAAGATTCAATAAATTAATAACCAATTAAATTTAACACAGTACCCTCTAATATTCCTATAAATATAAACTATACAAATAAAAATTCAACTACTCTACATTATAAAACAAATATCCTGCCCATCTCTATAACAACAGACAGGATCCCACCCAGCAGGAGCAGCTGCTCCAGGATCCTGCTGAGCTCCCCACGGGAGCTGTGGCTTTGTGCACAGAGCTCTGGCTAAGCCAGGCTCCAGCCCCACAAAGAACCAGCCTGGGGATCCCACTGAGCTCCAAAACTCCTCCTTCCAAGGGCCAGGCCACAGCAGAGTCACAGAAAAGCACAGAATACCCCGAGCTGAAGGATGCAGAAGGATCATCGAGTCCAGCTCCTGGTCCTGCACAGGACGCCCCAAAATCCCACTATGGGTCTCAAATTATTCTTATTCTTGTTAAGGTTTCAGGATTTTTCAGGCTGCTGTTGCCATGGTGGTGATCCAGGATTTTGGAATATGGAGATTTGGTCAGGAGCATCCATCCCCCTCTTCATTTCCTCTCTCTGCTCCTGAGAACACCCTGGGAAAGGAGGACCCACCTCGTTTGCCAACAGGGCTATAAAGACATTTTGATGTACTTAAGGTACATTAAAAACTCTAAATATTCTGGAATTGTAGAATCCCGGTGGCTTGTGTGGGAAGGGAGCTTAAATCCCATCCCATCCCACCCCCTGCCATGGGCAGAGATACCTTCCACTGTCCCAGGCTGCTCCAAGCCTCAATGACCTGGCCTCGGACACTGCCAGGGATCCAGGGGCATCCAAAGGTATTGAAAACCTGTTCCAATACCTCGCCACCCTCTGAATAAAAAATTTCTTCCCAAGATCCCAATATCCATCCCTGCCCTCTGGCAGTGGAAGCCATTCCCTGTGTCCTGTCCCTCCATCCCTTGTCCCCAGTCCCTCTCCAGCTCTCCTGGAGCCCCTTTAGGCTCTGCAAGGGGCTCTGAGCTCTCCCTGGAGCCTTCTCCTCTCCAGGGTGTCAGACTGGCTGTCCTGGTGAGGATTCTCTTCCTCACTTCCAAAGGGAAGGAGGAGGAATGAATACCTGGAGACCAGGACAGGGTTTTCTCCTGATGATAGCTGTGGGATTTTATTGATTCTCCAGGATCCTCAAGGCATCATTTCAGCACACTCAGGCTCACAGAGAGCTGCAGAGTCAGGATATTTTCCAGCTCCCCACCTCCACTCCTCCATTTAATGAATGGGATGGGGAGCTCCAGGGATGTCTCTGATGTCCCTTTACCTGTAGCACACCTTGGTAGCTTTCAGCTTCAGCTTCCTGCCCATCCCAGCTGCTGCATCCAGAATCACGGGAAACAGGGCCGAGACATCCACGGGAACCATCCCCACCCCTCCCTGCCCACAGGCAGCAACGGCCAGGGCCAAGTGCTCTGGGAAAAGCCTCTCTCCCCGACTCACCCAGCACAGGACACTTGGCCCATTGTGTCACATATCTCCATGACAAATCTACCCCTGGAATGCCATTGTTGTACGGAGGATGTAATTTGTTTTCACAACAGGAGAATTTATCTAACACAGATACTAAACCCACAGCGTTATTATATTCCCTTTTCCTTCCTTGGAAAGCCACAAAGGTCTTTGAAGGATCAGTGCAACAAAGGCTTTTCCCATCTCTATCAAGAGGGAAGCAAGGAAAGTTGGGCTGAACCACATGAAAACAGGTTTGGCCTGATGATCTAAAGTGATTGGAATTTGATTTCTATTCAAAGAGACAAAAGTTTCCCTGATTGATGAACATCACTTTCCTCGAGGTTTGGTTAATTCGGTGTTTCACATTGCTGTGACAGCACTTGGACTTCTGGTGGAGGGCAGAACATGGAAACACAGCTGTAAAATCCATGGAAAATGATAAATGCAAACCTTGGTACCTGCACTGCCCACAGGTTCCTTAGGGATAAGGAAAGATAAAGAAAGATAAAGAAAGATAAAGAAAGATAAAGAGCAGCCAGGCCCAGCTGAGCCTCCACAAGGTGCCCCAGGTATTTGCTGCCCTTCTCCCCAGGCTGGAACCCCTAATCACTTTACAACATAATTGCTTTTTACTCTCTGGGCTGTAAATCCCCAGCAGGTGCAGGGGACACCCCGTCAGCCAGCACTCGATTTTAAAACATTTACCTCACTTTTAAAATATTCAACTTGCTTTTAAAACATTCAACTTGCTTTTAAAACATTAAATTCACTTTTAAAATATTTAACTCGCTTTTAAAATATTTAACTCCTGCAGGCTACCCAGTAACCCACTGGGGGTTGCCAAGGACCTGAGAAGAGTTTTAATTCTCAAGCAGGTGTGTGAAACTGAACCTCTGCACAGAGCCCACGTTTTTCAGGAAATTTAGAACATATTTGGGTATTTTAAGTGAGTTTTTTTGGGGGGTATTTTACCTTGAAAAATCAATCAGCAGTGTAAGACTGAGCTATCTGGAGTAGATAATGCCCAGAGGTGCATTTTTTCCCTGAGGGTGTTACAGGGAGTAGATTTATATCCATCCTGAGATGAAGAACCTGCTTTGCTCACACTTCATCTGGGGTGACAATTTCCACCCCACAGCAGCTTAAGTCACTCTCCTAAAAATAAGAACCTGGTTTTCCAACCAAATTCCCGTTTTAAAGGCTGTGTCATGTCCTGGCTCTCCCAGGTGAGCTGCGGGGACACAGCAGTGGGATCCCTCAGACAGCAAAGCCTTTTTTTGCTTTTTATAAAGTTCTTTCCATTTGCTTCCTGTTTACTCTCCTTCCCGAGCACTCACGGAAACCAACAGGACTCTCCACTAAAATGTTCCAAAAGTAGGTGGTGCTGTGTCTCCAGCTTCTCCCCCATTCCCTGCGGGATTGGGAAACGGGAGCTGCCAGGACTGACGTGCACAGAGTTTATTAGTGACTAATTGGAGATCTTAACTACCCAAAGTGCTGAGTGCTCAGATGTCTCCTTGCCATCTATCCTCCTAAAGAGCAGGAATCATTCCTTTAAAAGCACAGCCAGGCCATGGCAAACCTTCCCCTGTGAGGCTGGGAAGTTTTCCTGCAGGGCAGGGAGGATCCTTGGGAATAAATCCCAGCCCAGGTGGAAAAGCTGTTGCCTGAGTGAATCCCATTTCTCTTGTGAGGAAGAATTTGTTACCGTGCAGTGACCAGGCTCTGGAACAGAGAGCCCAGGGAGGAGTCTCTCCTTCCCTGGACACATTCCAGAACCAGCTGGACACAATCCTGTGCCCTGGGATGGCCCTGCTGGAGCAGGGAGGTGGCACCAGGTGACCCCACTGTGCCCCCTTCCAACCCAAACCACTCAGAACCTCACCCTCACATCAATTTGGGATTTCTGGGGGAAGATGTGCAGCTCATCCTTCCCCTCTGGCAGGTTTTGAGCTGTGGATGATCAGTTTTGGGTGCTCTCAGTGGCTCCTGCAGAGGCAGAAGCTGCAACCACAGCCCAGAGCAGCTCAGCTGGGCCACAGGTCCTGCCAGGGACACTGGGAAAGGAGCAGGAGAGGGATAACAGGGAGATACACACATAAATATATGTATGTATATATGTGTGTGTATTTTACATACAAGTAAAACCTTATTTAAAAAAGGCTTTATAAAATCAAGCCTTACTGTTTCAACTAAGCTAACAACTAACCTGTTAAGTTCCCATAAAAAAAGAATTCTAAGAAGAAAAATCAGTTGACATAACAATCTCTTCTTGTAAGAAAAACAATTACACCTACAAAAATAAGAAGTCTATCCCATAAGAATCCATAAAGAAAAAATATAAACTATCCAGAAAAAGAAAATTTAATGAACACTAACCATTTACCAACCAATAAACTAAATTTCAATAAACTATTTACCAATTAGATTTAACAGTACCTTCTAATATTCCTATAAACTATATGAATAAAAAAAAAAAATCAGCTTTCTACATGAAAAACCAAGTATCTCATCCATCTCTATATTACAGGAGGGAGAGGAGCAGAGCAGGAAGTGTCACTGAGTCACTGGCAGGGCCTGATCTCCACAGGCCTCCAGTGCAGGAGCAGCTCAGGGAAACTCTCAGCAGGTGTTGCACAGATCCCATCATTTTTCCAGGAAGGAAAAGTTCAGGAAATCTTTTTGCCAGGTGAAAAGGGCAAAGCCAAAGCCCTATCTGCACCTAATCCCCAAGGATGAGGGACAATGCAACAATGAAGCACAAAAAAAAATAAAAAAGTCAATATTTGAGAGACCTGAGGAAGAGCAGGTCTGGGTGTCTGGGTGGAAAATGTGGAGCAGCTGATGGGGAAGGGCCCTTCCCCACCCTGCAGTTACTCATTCCTGGGGTTTCACAGCACCCAGAGGTGACACAGCCTGGGGAGCCAAGCATCCCATGTTCCACCACCTGTGCTTTATTTCCATTTAATCCTCGAGATCCACGCTCCTCACCTGGTGGGTGCTGGGAGAAAGCCCCAAAGGAGCCTCTCAGCTTTTTAAAAGGAAAAGCAGAACAAGCTCAGCACGGTCACACCCTCTCCTCGACGCTCTGCACTGTCAGAACAAAAGCACCAAAAGTCATTTCCTGACAGCACAAAAAGCTGCTTTGATGCTGAGGGAAGAACAACTGAATCCAGCTCATGGGCAAAGGAAGGACCTTAAAGCTCCTGACATCACCTTTCTCCATTATTTGAAGCCTTGTGGTCTCGTGCTGCCTGATTTAATGAAGTCAGCAGCACGGAAATGGTCACACGGAGCAGAGCCAAGTGAGATCCCACCAATATCCACATCCTGAGGTTAATTTTAGCCCTGCAAATATTTAGCTCTGTGTTTAGATAAATATCCCACGCTAGTGAGAGAGGAGACTGAACCAGCTGCATCCAGCGGGATCAGGGCTTGCTGTAAATCCCAATCCAGTATGATAATTAGCAGCATTATCTGCTGGTTTAATCACCAGAGCGTGAACTCTGGCAGTGCCCTGGGGTCAGCAGGCCGTACCCTGGCACAGCCTCTCACCAGGAGAGGCCATGGAGGGATGTTTTCCTTGGCATCCTCCCTCCTGGCTGGCTGCAGGAGAGTAAAGCCTTCCTCAAAAACTCCTGTTGACATCACAGAATCGTGGAAAATCCTAAGCTGGAAGGAACCCTCATGGATCCAAACCCTGGGGGAAGAACCTGATCTCCAGCCTAAACCTCCCTTGCACAGGTCCAGCCGTTCCTGTCCCTGCTCACCAGAGAGAACAGCTTGATCCCTTAATAATTCTGCAGTCTAGGAAAGCTCCTGTTCTCCTAAAGACACCAAAGTGTTCACTTCGGTAGCTCCAGGAGGGATTGCTTTCCATGGGACAGGACATCAGCCATATAAATCAACCCCAAATTTGCTATTTTTGAAGGGAATGGGAAGTCAATCCTACACAATCTCAAGGGAATGCACCTGTGCTCCAGGGGGAGACCCCAAAGTGATCCAGTACATCCCAGCGGGAGGTGTCCCTACCCACGGCAGAGGTGGAAGATGAGTTTTTTAAGATCCCTTCTGACCCGGACCGGTCTGTGAGTCCATGATTTTGCGAGATTTGTGTTCCAGGCGCCGCTTCCCTCATTCACTCACACAGGCGAGCTCTCAGCCCGAACTGGGTGGGCACCCCGTGCCCAGCAGCCCCGGCCCGGAGGAGCAGCCTGGCACCGATCCCGTGTCCCTGGCACCGCTCCCGTGTCCCTGGCACCGATCCCGTGTCCCTGGCACCGATCCCGTGTCCCGGCCCCCGGCACAGCCCCGGGCGCGGGGTGCGGGCCCGGCCCGGCGTGTGCGTGCAGGAGCCGCGCTGGGCGTGCCGGGGCAGCGCCGCCGGGCACAGGGCAGGGACGTGCCCCGAACGCTGCGTGTCCCGAGCGCTGATCCATGGAGTTCTACCCGCGGGAATCACAGGGAGTGACCCAGGACAACGTGGAGTCATAAACCCGATGATGCATCACTGAATCACGGCACGGTTGGGGCTGGAAGGGACCTCACAGCCCAGCCCAGCCCAGCCCAGCCCAGCCTGCCATGGCAGGGACACTTCCACTGTCCCAGGCTGCTCCAACCCCAGTGTCCAGCCTAGCCTTGGGCACTGCCAGGGATGCAGGGGCAGCCCCAGCTGCTCTGGGCACCCCGTGCCCGGGCCTGCCCACCCCACCCATCCCAAGGCAGGCTTTATCTCCCGCTCAGGGCTCACTCCCGGGGCCGCTCCCACCCCGTCCCCGCGGGTCCTGCCCCTTTAAGACGCGCCCCACGCCCGGCGCGCGCCCCGCGCTGACGCGCGATCGCGTGGCGCCTCTCCCCACCGCGGCCCCGCCCCCTCCCCGCGCCGCGCGCGCGCAGCCCCGCCCCGCCCAATCAGCGGCGAGGCCCCGCCCCCCCGCGGCTCTGCCGGGGGCGGGGCGGCGGCGTTGGCGCAGGCGCGCGGGGCGGGCGGGAAGGCGCGGGCGGAAGGAGGGCGGGGCCGCGGCGGGGCGTGGCGGGGCCGCGCGGGCGCATGCGCGGGGCGGCGGCGGGGCGGAAGCGGGCGCGGGCGCGCGCGGCCCCTTTCCGGCGGCGCGGGCGGAGGGAGCGGCGCGCGGGGCCCTCAGGTACGGCCGGGACGCTCCCGGGCCACCGCGCCGGCACCCATGAGCTGAGGCGCTGCGGCGGGAGCCGAGGCAGGAGCGGGCGGAGCCGCCGCCGCGGGCCCGGCGGAGCAGCGGAGCCGCCTCCCCTCCGCCCCATGCGCGGCCCGCGCTGAGCCCCGCCCGCCCTTCCCCGCCGGGCCGGCGCTCGCCCTCTCGCCCTCCCTTGGATGCCGCCGAGATGGGCAAGGTGCTGTCCAAGATCTTCGGGAACAAGGAGATGCGGATCCTGATGCTGGGGCTGGACGCGGCCGGCAAGACCACGATCCTGTACAAGCTGAAGCTGGGCCAGTCGGTGACCACGATCCCCACCGTGGGCTTTAACGTGGAGACCGTCACCTACAAGAACGTCAAGTTCAACGTGTGGGACGTGGGCGGCCAGGACAAGATCCGGCCCCTGTGGCGGCACTACTACACGGGCACGCAGGGGCTCATCTTCGTGGTGGACTGCGCCGACCGCGACCGCATCGACGAGGCGCGGCAGGAGCTGCACCGCATCATCAACGACCGGGAGATGCGGGACGCCATCATCCTCATCTTCGCCAACAAGCAGGACCTGCCCGACGCCATGAAACCCCACGAGATCCAGGAGAAACTGGGCCTGACCCGGATCAGGGATAGGAATTGGTATGTGCAGCCCTCCTGTGCCACGACGGGGGATGGACTCTACGAAGGGCTGACGTGGTTAACGTCCAATTATAAATCCTAATGGGAGAGGAACTATTTAGTCTACAAAGAATTAAAGAAACAAAACAAAAAAATTAAACAAAAAAAAAAGTTTAAAAAAGAAAGAAACAAAAAAAAAATAAATAACCCACGTGGCTTTCCAGAAGAATGATTCTCTACTGAAAAGTGAAAACAAAACCGCATCCATAGGATTATGATCACCTTTCTCCAGTTGCCACCCTTTCCTCCTGCACCCTTGGCTGGATTCCTGTTCTAACTCCTCCTGCTTGGCGTTAGGATGCTCTAACCTCCGAATGTGACACGAACACAGGCACTAGATGCTATGGCAGACTTCCAGCAAACAGGGGAAGGACACATTATAGACTTGCTAAGTAACTTTTTTTTTTTGGTTTTTTTTTTGGTTTTTTTCCTTTTTCCTCTCGATAGCCCTTTGCTGGTTTGATTATTTTGGGGGATGTTGGGGGAGGGGGTCCATTTTCAGTGTATGCTTTCTGGGTCTACTTTTTTGATTATATATATTTTTTTTTCTCTCTCTTCTCTCACTTTGCTGTAGATTGCTACTTTTTTGCATTCCTGCAGGATATGTTGCTAGGTCGACTTCATCTAGTAAACTGAAAATTGTTGCTTAAAATCAAACCGCAGTCTGTCTTTTTATATTAAGGACTTTTTTTTTTTTAAAGTTCTGTTAATCTGTAACTAAACAGTGACTCAGTCTGGCTCCACGGCTCAGGCTAATGAGGGGAATTCTTGCCTGCAGTGGCAGAGAGTGGGAATTCCACTGTAACGTGTTCAAAGTGCGTGTCGGGCGCCGGGAAATGTAAGAACTGCTTTGGAATGTCAGCTGGGAAGTTCTGACCCATACATCATGCATGAGGAGGGATGCAAAACCAGCTCCCCACACCACATAGCAAACAAGGCATGAACGATGCTGTAGTTCCAGGGTAGGCACTGGGCAGTTTTTTTTGTCTTAAATGAGGTTTAGTTGCAGTTTTTTACAACTTGGTGTCGGTCCCCGGGCCGAGGCTCTTTCCAGCAGATGCAGCAATAAAATGTTGCAACGAGTTTGACTTTAAATCAGATGTTATGGCAAAAGTCCAGCTCTGACTTGCCTCTCGCTTCCATCTCAAGGCAGCTGGAGACACCCAAACCTTGAAAGGATTCCTGATTCTTTCCAACAGAAAGAAGGAAATTGTTGTTATTATTATTATTATTATTATTGTTCTTTTTCCATGCTGGAGCCTGGCGAAGGGGCGAGTTCTGTGCCGAGCTCTGCTCAAGCCCGGGGATTCTGACATCAGGAATGGCCATTTTGAGGAAATCACTTCTTGCTTTAATTTTCCAAGCCTGGACTGAGCTCCTGCGAGCAGCTGGAGCCTCCCCGTGTCCCGGTTGTTGCTGTAGTCCTGTAGGAAAGGGAACTATGTTGGATGTCTGAGGCCCATTGAGTAACTACTAATGAGAGCAGGGAGGGGAGAGAGAGAGAGAGAATCGACGCTGAATGTAAACTTCCATAATTAGTTCTTAAAGGGCAAAGCAGCTCGTTAGCCATGTCACAGCCTGTAGCTGGGACTGGCCAATCAAAAACCCCACCCAGAGCGAGTATTTGCATAAAAACTCAATCAAGTATTAATTAACACTGGGTGCACAAACTGTTAAAGCAGCTGGTTCTTATTCAGCCTTAAGGATTAACTTCAGATTTCCTCAAGGAGTTAAAACTCCATTGGGGAATTCTAGGAATGTATGCTACAAAACCAGAAGAAAATGGCTTTTACTTTCCTTTTTTTTTTTTTTTCCTTAATTGTTTTCTCTTTTCAAGAATATAAGTTTTACATGGAATTGGGGGCATTACACTACATTGCTGCAGTGGTGACTCTGCATGCTGAGTACTTGTACATGGAGCTCTTACCAAAGATGTATGGGAAGACAAAAATCCTGAATTCACTTCTGAAATCCAATGCTTTGGAGCACTTCAAAGTCCTTTTAGAGTGTGGTTCCAAAAAAAGACTTTTCTGGATGTGGGTTGTAAATGGGACTGGATGGGTCCTTGGTGCTAGAAGATAGAGCATTGATGGACTTTGTGAATTAGAGAGAGTCTGCAGAAGCTTAATGTAGAAATAACTTCCATCTCAGCCCTAAAGAAGAGGAAGTGAGATTAGTTTATTTTAATCCAAGGCTTTTTGCCATTGGAATATCATTGCTCTATTTTCTAGCTTTTATTTTTCTTTTCCTGTTGCTGTAACTTAATGAACAGTGTGGTGGTATAAAAACTTAAAATTACAACAATATGGTTACTGTTTTCTTCTGGAGCATCAATAAAATAGCCAAGCACAAAGTAAATGCCTAAACTGGAAAACTTGAAGCTCTATTAATGGTTCTTGAACTTTCTTAAGCGTATTCTCAGTCAACATGAAAACTTCAATACCTTCATTTTTTTGTCTGAATTGGTTTCCTGTGTTTCCAAGCGCTGGGGCAGCCTTTGCATTAAGTTGACTTTGCAATTTTGTATCCCCTTAGAAGTAACTTTGTAATTCTGTTTTGTAGGTGAAAGGAAATTGCTTTTGCTTCTGGATTTTTTTGATTTTTTTTTTTTTTTGGTGGGTGGGGGGAGTGGGGAGGAAGAGAGGGGGGAGAAAAAGTTACTGGAACGTGTGGCAGAGCTGTCAGAAATAAACGTGGCTGTGGCCACCGAACAAAAACCCACAGGTTTCACATCCAACACGTCCTTTCTAGGCTGTAGCTGGACCTCGGCACGAGGTAGTGGCTGTCAGTAGGATAAAGTGGGAATTCTGTACGAAACAAACCAGTCTGGAGTTGCAAGTGCATCGATTTGTGTTCGTGTGAATTTATGGAGTAAGTTTTGAATGGCGTTCAATCGTGTCCGACCAAGTGACTGAGTTTGTGGCCTGTGATCTCCCTGACTGAAGTACCCAGGAATTTTGTGTTCTCAATATGGCTGTAGTGTTGGTAAAGAACTAATAAGCAGAAAATAAAGCAATTATACAGCGGAGCTCTCCTGGTATGTTACTTATATTGAATTATGAGAGAAGCAGAAAGGAGCAATGTGGTGCTGGAGTTGGGCGTTGTGCTGCCATAAAGAGGGCTCTGTTCTGGATCTCCCAGATTGGAAGCCTGGCTGTAATTCCTTGGAGAATTAGATGAGAGACTATAAGTGGAAAAGGATGATGATGCTGCTTTAATATTCCCACTTGAGCAAGCTTTATTGTCAGGGTTCTCCAGCCTCGGTGCCAGCCCCGTGTAACCTGGGAAGGTGAGGGCAGGGAGGGATTGTCACCGCCGTGTTCCAGGGAGGAAATTCCCTGGAAAGGGCAGCCACGAGGCCAGTGTGGAACATGCAGGGATGGACAAAGGGGCTGATGAGTGACTAGGGGTGCTTGTGGAGTGACAGATGTGACGTTGGGACTCTGCGGTGCCTGAGCAGGACACGAGTGAGCCGATAAAAGGACTTGGGCAGGTGCTGGGGCTGCGGGGGGGGCTGGGGAGCAGCGGGATACGGATCCTGTGACAGCTGCCATCCCCTGGGACAGGCAGCAGGGTCACAGCCCGAGCTCTGCTGGTACAGGGCACGGCCGGGGCTCCGAGGCTGCTCCCACAGCTGCAGGTGCCAGGCCAGGCACAGCCCTGGAACTGTCTCCTTGCTGCGAAACTTTGGGAATGCTCAGGAGCATCATTATCTGGTCTAGTGAGCAGAATCCCTGCCCATGGAACGAGCTGAGCTTTGAGGTCCCTTCCTACCCAAACCATTCCATGATTATGGGGCCGTGGGGCCACCACAGCCACGATTCCCTGCAGAGCCTTCCCCTTCCAGGGTGTTCAGGCTCTGCCTGGCTGTCAGTCCAGGGTGTGGCTGTGTAAATGAACTTACTCTGACTTAATTAAACTCCTCGGAGCTGGGAGACAAGCAGGGGGAACCGGTGTCTCTCTGGTTGGAGCAGTGAGTCACATTTCAAAATGCCGGCGCTTATCGCGTCCCATCGGAGCGCCCTGAGCCTGAGCTGGGACCACGCCGTGACTCAGCCCTCAGCAGGGCCCTGTCCCCATGGACAGGCCTTGGCAAAACTGTGCCCACCATTCCTAATTGGAAATTATCCCTGCTAATGCAAATCCCTTCAAAGGAATGTGTCTCGCTTTAAAACTCTTGTCACAACAGCTGGGCACAAGAGCTGTGAGAGCTGAGGTGATCTCCCTTCTCACTGGCATTTGGGAATGGGGAAAAAAAGGGACTGCCAGGAGCAGAGAATTTGCTGTGGATGTGGAAGCAGCCTCAGTGTGAGCACCGTGACTCAGACTTCCCTCTAACACACGGCTGTGCTTTTTATCTTGGATTTGCTTCTAATATCTGTCCAACCTGACGGCCTCAGTGTGGGAGAATCTGAAATCCCCTCAGCTTTGGTGCTTTCTGGAAGTTAAAAAAAAAAAAAACTTTCCCCTCGTCTCGTGGGGAAGCATCAGCTCCCAGGGGCTGTTGGTGACTGAGTGTCACCTCTGCTGAGTGACTCAGTTCCTCTTCTGAGGTCCTGCGCTCCGGCACCGCTCGTGTTTCAGAATTATGTCTGAGCAAAGGCTCTCAGGGCTTCAGGCCGAGGTGGAGCTCCACAATCCTTCTCCCTTTCAAAAATGGGAGCACCCCAAGAGCAGAATGGTGTAATTTTTCACCCTGTGTCAGCTCTGGAAGGTGCAGGGTGAGTCAGAGCCCAGCAGCTCTGTGGAAGGTGGTTTTTACAGGCGGGAAATGGGGTGTGCAGGGGGTTGTCCAGGAAGTGGCTCAGCTCTTGCTTAAGAACAGGTATCTCTGGCCTCCTTAAGAAAGGAGGGGAAAAAAAGTCAAGATGTGAGTCACTGCTGAGTCTCACAGTGGTTTAACAGGCTCTGGTCCCTGCTTTGCCTCAAGTTTTCCCTTCCAGAAGCTGCACTTCACTCCTCTGTTCCTGGTTTTTTTAGTTGCATCTTCCAAGGCGGCTTTAGTTAGGAAAAATGCTTCAGCAGGGTTTAATGGGTGTCCTGTGAGATGGAAATTGGTGATGCTTGGAAATTGGTAACACTTAAAACACTTCACTTTTGTTAGAGGTTTTCAGGTGAGAGCAACCCCCAGGGGTGCCACCAACAACTCCTGGATCCGTACAGGATCCCTGAGCTCCAGCTGCCTTTCAGTGAGTGAAAAGTCCCTTGTGGATAAACAGAGAAGAGGAGGGAGCCAAGGTGTAGAAAAGAGCCTGAATTCCTGGCTGTGAGGGTGGAAAGGCCTTGGTATAGGGTGCCCAGAGAAGCTGTGGCTGTCCCTGGATCCCTGGAAGTGCCCAAGGCCAGGCTGGACAGGGCTTGGAGCAGCCTGGGACAGTGCAAGGTGTCCCTGCACATGGCAGGGGTGGCACTGGATGAGCTTTAAGGTCCCTGCTCGAACCATTCTGGGATTTTATGATTCTGTGAACTACTAAAATTATCCCCACGCTTGCCTAGAGTGGATTTCTTGTTTGATTTTCCACTGCCTGGACCAGGCACTGGCTTCATCCTGAAGTTTCTGATGGAGCAGGAGGGGAGGTTTTCTCTCTCATCATTGCATGAAAACCTGTGGAAAGCTGCAGCAAACGCTGCATTGCATCCAATGATTGTTGAGCTGTTTTATGAGAATGTACTTTTTCACATTTTGGGGGGAAAAGGGGAAAACCTCAAGTAGGCTCTGTAGTTACAGGAGAGTAGGACACAGGGTGGGCTGGCTGGGAGACCTCAGAAACAAGGGAAGCAATTTCCCAGGATTATCCTGGATTTTTGAGAAGGCCACGTTGCTTTTTTTTGTGGCTGAGCTCCAGCAATTCTCATCCCATGAGGGTCCATCAGAGGAAGGCACCTACCTGGATCATCACTGCAGGGGACAGAGAGGAGCAGAGGGAAGCATCCAGTGCCAATCCAGCCCCAAAATACCTCTGCCATTCCTGCAAAGCTGCTACTGGGGAAGGAACTCATTCCACGAAGTCTGGGAGTTCCAGGCTCTGCCATGCCTGGTGCTGACAGCTCCTAACTGGAACAAGCAGCACTGCTTCTTCGGTGTGCTTGCTCCAAGGGAGACTTTGCACTTTGTGAGTGGAAGGTGGGACTGCAAAGTCCCCGTGCTGTTGATATTTGTTATTTTTGCCCTGAGGAGCTTTGTACATTTTCCCCTAGGAAGCAGGGGGCTCCTGTGGAGCAGCACGACCCTGTGGCTGGGGACTTCCCACCACCATGCACCACTGGAGCGGGATGCATTATCCCATTAGCTCAGCATCTGCCAGGATGCCTTTCCCCACAGGGGCTGGATTAGGCTGGAACTGACCCAGCTCTCCAGGAAGCTTTTCCTATCACGTACTTGTGGCTTTCAGGCTGCTGCCCTGGCTGTAACCAACCCCAGCACCCGCCTTGCACCGCCGAGAGGGAGCTCTGGCAGGCCAGCAGGGAGTTGGCTTTACCTTTGCCTCCAAAGAATGTCTGTTAAGTGTTCAAATTCCATCCTGTATATTCTGGAGCTACTCGTCTTTTCAATATAATGAGTTTTTTGGGCTGTGATGACTCAGAATGGACAGGGTTTCACATCAGCATTGAAAATAGAAGCATTTGGGTAGGGAGATGAGGGGCAGCAGCAGGACAGACACTGCTGGGGTGCTCGGTGGCTCCTTTCTGCCTGACACAAAGATTTGGGATGAGCTTCCCTGGCATCTGCTCGCTGCAAGAAGAGCCAAGCCCGGCAAGGGCCGGTGTGGAAGGCGCTGGCCTCCGGCGCTGCCTTGTGGAAGGAGTTGAATCGCTGCCAACGAGCTGTCCCTGGATCTCTGGCTCATCTTACAACCTTGGACTCGTTAATGAATCCGAAGTCCTCCAGCCCTTGTCTCCAAACATTTTGAGTATGTGGCATTTGAGAGCCAGGGTCACCATCCAGGCTGGGCTCGGGGTGCTGGCCATGCTCCTGGGCTGCTCCCGCTGCTCTCCTGCAGCTCTGCCTTGGATCTGCTCCTGGCCACGTTGGCTGCAGCGTTCCAGCCTCTTTAGGGAGGGCTGGGAATACTGCAGGGAGTAGGACAGAGGTGTGTTCTCCTTTAAGGATTGCCTGCAATCTCAGGATCCCAGCTCCTGCTGTACCTGTTCGGCTGATGCCTCACAGACAAATCCTGCTCTGCATTTTCCCCTGAATGTGAGGTTACACTTTAACCAGAGCACCAAAATTTCCCAGCTTTTCATTTCATCGTGGCCATTATTATGATTTTTGGAGGGGGATCTCCCCACCAGGATGAGCTGCAGCTTTTCCACCTTGCTTGAAATTACCTGTGGGTTTCCCTGACCCAAGGCCTCCAGGCCAAAGCCCGGAACCTCCTGCTCTAATGCCACACTCGCTTTTTCCCTCCTCACCATTCCAGTGTCCCCCCAGTCCTGCTCTGCCATGGGGGACAAGGGGCTCCACAGCTCCTCCTTCCCCTCTCCAGGTTCTCCAGCTCCCGGAAACTCTCCCGGTAGTGAAACTGGTTAATCACGTTGACACTGGAGGAGTGCTGGCATCCGAGAGGGATCTGTGGATTAACTGGTTCCGGTGTTTGCCAATTCTCGGCAGCCTGATGCATTATTCAGGACCGGGCTCCTTTCGGGCCTTCGGAAAATCTGGAGCTTCCC